AGTGTTTGAGTTGGAAAAAAATGGGGAAATTTGTGAAAACATACTAAGCTATATTTTGAGGATTTGAATGGCGATTTGAGGCCAGAATTGAATAATTTTAGTATGTTTGGACTGGTTATTGAATGGGTGTTCGGATTTTGTTAGTTTGGTCGGGTTTGGAGATGCGAGCCCGGGGTTGACTTTTTGAATTGACTTTTTGATTTTCTTTAAAGATTGCAACTTTATTATCCGAAATAGTTTTCTATGGTTTGTATTTATGGTATAAAATTATTTTGGCTAGATTCGAGCCGTTTGGAGTTGGATATTCCGGGAAAAGGCTTACTAGTGGATTGAGTTAGCGTGTTTTGAGGTAAGAATCTTGCCTTTGTGTGGGAGAATTACCCCTTAGGATTGGAGTTGTTTTGTGTCATTTGTGGTACGTGAAAGCCGTGTATGCAAGGTGACGAGTGGGTACACGGGCTATATGTGGTAATTAACCGGTTTAAGCTATGTAGATTCTTTTCATGCTTTTAATCGAATTGTCATAACATGTGATATTCATCATCGTTGATCTATCCTTACATGCTTTACTTGACATTGTTAATACTTGTCTCATCTCTTACTTGTTATTTGCCCTTACATGCTTAGTTGAAGTTACTATTTCCTTATTGACTTGTTAAATATTTAACTGTTGAGTTACCTTACTTGAAGTTGCTATTTATTAAAATATCTTATTGTTGAGTTTTGGTGTTGAAGTTGTAAAAGTCGTGATCATGGGGCCCAGTTTCGTCCTTTATACAGTTGTACACTCTATTAGAGGTCTGTAAACAGTCATGTATAGCTGGATGGTGTGTGGCCTTGTCGGCTTCTATTTTGATATATAGTGGTCCATATCAGCTTTATCGTCTCGTCCTACCGTGTTCTGCATATATATATGTCTTTTGGGCATGTTTTCTCATGTATGTTATTCACATGAGTCAGCTCTTTATTGATAGATGTTATGCATGACCTATCCCTATTTCATGTTTATATCTTAGACATATGCTTAGGGGTGTTCGACAGGAAGGAATTGGGCACTCGTCACGGCCCATCGGTTTGGGTCGTGACAAAAGTGGTATCAGGGCAGTTCCATCCTAGGGTTGTCTACAGACCGTGTCTAGTAGAGTTTTGTTTATGAGTGATTTGTGCACCACACTTATAAACAGGAGGGTGCAGGACATATAGGATATTATCCTCCCTTTTTATCTTAGATCGTGCGATATAAGGTTTCATTTTCCTAATGATATATTATGTTTTCAGCGATGCCTAAGAAGGTTATAGCCACCCAAAAGGGCAAGTCCGTGGTTGATGAGACTACGAGTCGAGCACCACGAGTTACCAGGGCTGGGGGAGAGTCTCAGAGTGAGACTCCATCTCAGACTTTACATACCCTGCCCGCTCCAGAGGAGATCCGAGGGGAACCAGCTCCAGTGCACGCCCCAGTACCCCTAGCTTCTTAGCCAGATGCACCGGGTCAGGAGATGAGAGATGCTATTCAGCTATTGACTCGATTAGTGGCCGCACAGGCTCGGCGCTAGGAAGTAGGTATTGGCCATGCAGATAGGGCCATCAGTGCAAGGGTTCATGGTTTTATTAATTTGGACCCTCCGGTATTCACTGGAGCAGATCCAAACGAGGACCCTTAGGTATTTATCGATAGGATGCAGAGAACTTTGAGGGTAATGAAGGCCACTGCGACTAAGTCAGTTGAGCTGGCTTCCTATAGACTTCAGGATGTTGCAGTTAATTGGTACGAGTCTTGGGAGTTGTCCAGAGGTGAGGATGCCCTTCCAACAGTATGGCAGGATATACAAAGGCTTTTCTTCGTCATTATTTGCCACTAGAGCTTAGACGGGCCAGAGTTGATCGGTTCTTGACCCTCCGGTAGGGTAATATGAGTGTTCGGGAGTACAACCATTAGTTTGATTCTTTGGCTAGGTATGCTCCCATTATTGTAGCTAAGATGGAGGATCGGGTTCATCGGTTCGTGATGGGTTTGGAGCCATACCTGCTTAATGACTATATGTCGGCCTCACTTCAGCTAGGCATGGATATTTCTCGTATTCAGGCATACGCTCAAGGTGTAGAGGAGCGTAAGCAGAAGCAGAGGGCCGATCGTAAGCATGATAGGGGCCGGAGTAAGAGAGCAAGATCTTCAGGTCCTTCTGGTGAGTTTTGAGGCGGTCAGAGACAACAGTACCCGAGGTATCCAGCCTAGCCATCGACTAGTGAACCCCCTCAGTTTGCCGGTAGGAGATTTGATTATTCCACATATTCAGGGTCTAGTCAGAGTTTCAGGGCCTCTAGTTCTCAGTATAGGGGTGAGTCAAGTCAGATAAGGCCGCCCTTGCCACGATGTGCTCAGTGTGGTAAGCAAAATGCCAGGCAGTGCCTTGTGGGGTTGGGTGTTTGTTATACTTGTGGTTATCCAAGCCATGTTTTAGAGAATGTCCGACGAGAGGTGGTGCAGGTAAAGTTCAGCCAGCGGGATCTGTAGCTGGTTCATCATCATCAGTACGCCCCCCATAGGCAAGGTTCACAGGCACCGACCGGTCGTGGTAGAGGAAGAAGTGGAGCATCTAGCTTGAGCGGTCCTCAAAACCGCATTTGTGCATTAGCCGGCCGACAGGATCAGGAGTCGTCACCTGATGTTTTTACAGGTATATTATCAGTCTCCTCATATGATGTATATACATTGATTGATCCAGGTTTCACCTTATCGTACGTCACTCCGTTGGTTGCTAGTAAGTTTGGGATAAAACTTGAGTTGATTGAGCCTTTTGAGGTGTCTACACCTATTGGGGATCCAGTGATAGCTAGACAGATATATAGAGATTGTATAGTAGTAGTTCATAGTCATTCTATAGTAACATACCTAATTGAGTTAGATATGGTAGAATTTGATGTTATAATTGGTATGGAATGGTTGGCTTCTTGTTATGCTAACATTGATTGTAGATCAAAGATGGTTTAGTTCCAGTTTCCAGGGGAGCCAGTTCTGGAGTGGAAAGGTAATACTGCATCACCGAGAGGTAGGTTTATTTCCTATCTCAAGGCAAGGAAAATGATCAGAAAGGGATATATTTATCACTTAGTTCGGGTACAGGATGTGAAAGAAGAGTCATCGACCCTTCAGTCTATCCCGGTGGTTAATGAGTTTCCCGATGAGCTTTCAGGCCTTCCACCAGAGCGGTAGATTGAGTTTGCCATTGAAATATTACTAGATACTCAGCCAATATCTATTCCTCCTTATGGGAAAAGGTCCAAAATTGCCCCTCTACTATGGTATATTGTTTACTTCTGCCCCCCGTTATACTTTTTGTCCAATCTAGCCCCTACCGTTAATCAAGTTTTAAAAATTACCCCTAACCCTAATGTTTTGACACTATGGCAGCTGACCCCCTCAATTTCATCCATGTAAGCTGCCATGTCATCGACCCCACCAAATGAAAACCCAACAGACCCATTAAATTTCCCGTCACCCACCCGTGACACGTGACCCGTTTGCCCACTAAATAAATAAGTTAGACCCGTCTAAATTGACAAAGAGGGTCATTTGGTCTGCATACGTTCGATAGAAATGAGAGAGAAGAGTGTGGAAGGTTCAAAAGAAAATCCTTTATTTTCAGTGTTAATGCCGTCCAAGGTAAGATTTTCCCCCAAAATCTGAACTTTTCTGCTAGTTTCATATGCTTGTTGTTTATAAATGAAGCATTTTTGTCTTAGCGTTCGCATTTCTTTTCTGTTAAAGTTAGGGTTTTTAGATTTTGCTTCGTGGTTTAGGGTTTCACTGTTATGTGCTCAGATATGTGATTTGTCGTTAAGGGTTTTACTTTGTCTGTGTTTTTGTCGGTGTTTGTGTTTGCATGTGACTTTCAACTTTATACCCTAATTATTTGTCTATTTCTATTGGTCGGTTAGGGTATATTGGTAGAATTGATGATATTTGGTTTATTATTACTTTGTTTTAGAAGAACTTTCTCTGGTTTAGGATTTCAAGTATGTGTGGTCCCTTTTGTTTTTTTTAAAGAAGGGTCGCATATGGTTGGTTTTTTTACTGAAAAAGGATTTGAAGTATTTGTTAATAGCCGACTTGTTGTTATTTGGTCCCCTGTTTTACCTGCATTTACTTTGAAGATGATGCTCATGTGGGTCTCTTACAGATATGTTTTGTGCTTATTTTATTGAGGTGGGACTCTAAGTTTGATACTTTATTATGTGGTCCCCCATATGCATGCTTGTGTCCGTTTCTTTATCATAGTACCTCATTCAATTTTGTTTCTTTATTCATCTACCTCTCTACCTTTTCCTTATTCCCTTTATTTATCCCCTCTTTTGTTTATTCAGGATTTCCCTTACATGTTTATTTATTATTTATGTACCTCTTGTCTTTGTTATTTCTTTATGCATTTACTATGGTAGGCTGTAATAACTTTATTCATGGTTACTATGCAACCTTTTATAAATGGTGCTAGTTGACTTAGTTTTTCATCATGGTGTGAAATGGACTAGTAAGCCACGTCTGCTGTATAAAGAGAAGTATGTGCACATCAATAAAGGTTATGACTCTGACTTACTCTCTTATGCTGATTTAGTTGATGAATATGATACCAAGTTTGGGTATATAAGGGTGCAACAACTAATAGTAAAGGGTTCTGCTGGTAGATACTATGAAATAGATGGGGATGTTGGGATTAGGACTTTATTGGACTTTGTTAGTGAACAATGTAATATTATTAATTTGTTTGTTGTAGAAGAGTGTGAACCAGCAATTGATGTACCTAATATAGTCACTCACAGTGAGTCACACATAGTAGAAGTTGAAGCTGCTACTGATTGTAGTGATAATGAAAGCGAGGAAAATGATTCCGATTCTCCTGATTCTCCTGAATTAAGTTCTGATGGATTGGAGTAACTTTTTTTTACAAAAGAAGAGGGACATCAATGATAAGTTAACTGACTATAAAGAGTTAGATAGGTCAATGACATTTAAAGATATACCTGAAACTAGGAAAATGATCAACATGTATTCTCTTGCAAATGGATATGACTTGCAGCAAGTTAAAAGTGACCCAGCAAGGCTTAGGTACATCTGTGTTGGTGACTGCCCCTTTGTTTGTCATATATCTAATGATTCTTTAGGGGGGTGGGGTTAAATTCAAGACTTTAGAGCCTGAGCACACATATGAACCTGCATTTGAAAATCAAAGAGTTGATGTAAATACAATAGCTGCTTACTTTAAAATAGGCTTGAAAGATAATCCCAAAATTAAGGTTAAAGAGATGAGAGCAAGCTTGAAAGCTGCATTTAATGTAAATGTTAGTGAATTTAAGTGCAAAAGGGAAAAGAAAATGATTTAGGAGAAACTTGAAGGTAGTTTTTCAGATGAATATAATAAGCTTGTTGCCTATGCCAATGAACTGAAACTTAGCAATCCTGGGAGTGATGTGATAATTAACTTATCAAAAGATGCTCTTGAAGAAGGCAAAAGGAGGTTTTTAAGGATGTATATTTGTTTTCAAGCAATGAAGTCTGGGTTTAAGAGTGGTTTGAGACCTTTCATTGGATTGGATGGAACATTTTTGAAAGGGAAATCTAAAGGTCAGCTCTTGGTGGCTGTTGGTCAAGATTCTGCCAATTATTTATATCCATTGGCTTGGTCTATTGTTGATAAAGAAATAAAACTTACTTGGAAGTGGTTCTTAGGTCACCTGCAGACTTCACTAGACCTCAAAATGGGTGAAGGGATCACATTTATATCAGATATGCAGAAGGTATATACTGTTTCTTTGTACTGTTATTTTCAGCTATTTTCTTAGTTTCTTTGTACTGTTATTTGATGATATTTATTGATATTTGTAGGGGTTGATTGACTCAATCCAAACTGTTCTTCCTGAGTCATACTTCAGATTTTGTGTAAGCATATAGAAGCAAATTGGTGTAGGAGATGGGGTTCTGGTGAGTACAAAAAATTCCTTTGGTGGGCTGCATGGAGTACTTATGAAGAGGACTTCAAAGATCAGATAAAGAGTATGAGTCAAGTAGATGATGATGGAAAGGTAGCTGTTGAGGATTTGTTAAAGTATCCACCAAAATGTTGGAGAAGGGCATTCTTTGATATTGTTTGCAAGAACTAGTCTGTGGACAACAACTTGACCGAGTCATTCAATGCATGGATCTTGCAAGCAAGGCACAAGCCAATCATTAAGATGCTTGAGGATATTAGAATCAAGGTGATGAACATGATTAATGAACATGAAGCTGAGGTGATGACATGGGGAAATGAGTACAGTCCCAAAACCATGGAGTTGTACAATCAATTCATGAGGATTGCATTGAAGTGTCATGTTAATGGGAGTGCAGACAATGGATATGAGGTGACTGAAAGTAGTGACAGGCACATTGTGAATCCATGGTTAAAGAAATGTACCTGCAGGGCATGGGATCTTTGTGGCATTCCATGTCCTCATGCAATCTGTGCATTATTGCACAAGAAATTGGACCCTCTAAGTCAGATTCATTGGTACCTTACCAAAGAGGCTTATCTCCTAACTTATTCACATAAGTTACAACCAGTAAGAGGAGAAAAGTTCTGAAAAATTGACCCTTCATAATACATGGCTCCACCTCCTTTGGTAAATATGGCTGGGAGACCAAAGGTTAAGAGAACAAGAGAAAAAAATAAGGAAATTAATAGGCAAGGGCAATGGTCTCAATCAAGGAAAGGGAGGGTAATGACATGTAACAACTGTGGTGAACCTGGACACAATTCTAGAGGATGTGCAAAGGTAATCAATACTATAACTTTTTCTTTCATTCTTTTTCTTTCAACATCTAATAAAAGCTTTCTTTCTTACTAACAACATTCTAAAGGAAAGCAGCCCATTGGAGGCAAGAAGAAGGGAAAGCAGACAAAAAGGAAGAGAACTTTACTTGGTGAAGCTACTGATGATGAACAACCAAGATCTCCCTCTCCTGCACCAGTTCCACAAGAAGCCACTGATTAGGAAATTTCTTTGTCAGCCCCTCAGCCAAGTCAGCCTACTCAAACAAGTCAATCCAGCAACTTGTTGTTTATGCCAACCCCTTCAGTGTAGAGGAAAGAACCAAGCTGCAGTGCTTTCCCAGACTTCGACTACCTAGAATTTGATACAGAGCCTGAAATAGCTATAAGGCCAAGAAGTATCTCTGAGGAAAAGATTAGGCTACAATTGAGGCAACTACAAAGTACAACAATTGGAACAAGGGCAATTGGATTTGTTGGTGATGCCAGTGGTGTGAGTGAGCCATCAAACCTTCCATTCTCACCAAAGAAGCTGCAATGGAAGGGAAAAAATGCTATTACTGGTAACCAGCTTAACAAACAAAGATTGGCCAAGTTGAAAGCAAAGAAGGGTAATGGGAAGAATCAGACTTAATGCAATCTGGTGTTCTGGAATGTGGAGCTATTGAACTCTATTATGGTTGTATATTTTTTGTTGTGATGTAATTACTGTTAGCCAAGTAAACTTGTTATTTTTGGTTGTGTGACTGTTTAGTTAGTGACATGTTCACTCGGATGTCATGTTATCACTTGGTTGTGTAAGTTTTTGGGTGATAATGTGACATCCCCTTGTTTGGGGTTTAATGTAGTTTGACTGTTTAGTTGGGGAAACTTGGATGTCATGTTGTCACTTGGTTGTGATATTGTTTTGGGGTGTTAATATGACATCCTCTTGTGATGAAGCAACTATTAGTTTATGAATTTAAGTGTTCGTTTCATTGTTATTCATTGTCCAACTATTAGTTTATGAATGGTTTAAGTGTTCGTTTATGAATGGTTTAAGTGTTCATTTTATTGTTATAGATGCTGTCCAAACCCTTCATTGTCCAATATTTAGGAATTTGCAGGTTCATCACCATTAAAAACTGTCCAGATTTTGATAGAGACAATGACTTCAACACATACAATTTGTGTGCTTTTGTAACTGCTATGTTCATCAGCCCATAACAACAACTAATAATATAGTAGGTTCATCACAATTGGTGCCCTCGAATAAATACAAAAAATACATAAATATTGGAATTACATTAACTAAGATTACATTAACTAATGTAAACAGTTCAAAACAACATACATAACACCTTCTCTTCCAATTTCAAACGAGAAGAAAACTGAAAACAAAACATATTCACTAAAAAAAGATCACAACAATAGACATCAACAAGATTCACCAACATACACTTTATCATCGACGCCGCAACAAATCCAACAAAAAATGCCCATGAAATCATAAGCATCATCCTCATCTTCAAAACCTTCTCTTCCAATTTCATTACTTTTGCAACTTCAGCTTGGTGTAGAGCCTCCATGGCAATTAATTCTTCTTTCAATTTATCCCTATATTTTTAATCGCTTACCAAGAGGATGTTAGATCTTTAGTTGTAACCAAATCACTGTTCAACGAGATTTTATCTTCCCATTCAAAATAACCACAAGAACGATTCTGTCGAAGACAAAAATCAGAGAAGAAACTAAGATCTTTATTATTAGACTATAATTTAGAGCAAACTGATAATAATTTAGAGCTTTTGGTAGAGAATCACTAACCTTAGGCTTCAGACATTTATAAAATCGTCTTCCAGGGTTTAATGGAGTCGTTGAAGTGAATTGGTTTGCAATGATGCCATAACACACCTAATTTGGGAAGAACAACTTCCTTGCGACATTGAAGGCTGAGGAAAATAGGATTGGGGTCGTGTGAGCCCTAATTCTTTGGAGACGGGAATGTAATGGGTCTGTGGGGTTTTAATTTGGTGGGGTCGATGACATGGCAACTGACATGGATGAAATTGACGGGGTCAACTGTCACAGTGTCAAAACATTAGGGTTAGGGGTAATTTTTAAAACTTGATTAACGGTAGAGGCTAGATTAGATAAAAAGTATAATATGTGGCTGATATACCATAGTAGAGGGGCAATTTGGTACCTTTTCCGCCTCCTTATAGAATGGCACCTAGAGAGCTGAGAGAGTTGAAAGAACAACTGAGGGATTTGCTTGAAAAAGGCTTTATCAGACCCAATACATCACCATAGGGAGAACCTATGTTATTTGTAAGAAAGAAAGATGGTTCCTTGCGGATGTGTATTGATTACAGGCAGTTGAATATGGCGACGATCAAGAATAAGTACCCACTCCTGAGGATTGATGATTTATTTGATAAGTTGCAGGGTGTCAGGTGTTTCTCGAAGAAAGAATTGAGGTCTGGGTACCATCAGGTAAGGGATAAAGAGAAAGATATTCCAAAGAAAACATTCAGGACCAGATACGGGCACTTTGAGTTTCGTGTTATCTCGTTCAGTTTGACCAATGCCCCAACAATATTCATGGACTTGATGAACCGTGTGTTCAGACCCTTTCTAGATCTGTTCGTGATTGTAATTATAGATGATATTTTGGTTTACTCCCGTTCAGAGGCTGAGCATGCAGATCATTTGCGTACTGTGCTCAGAGTTCTACAAGAAAGGAAGTTGTACGCAAAATTCTCTAAATATGAATTCTGGTTGAATTCTGTAGCTTTCCTTGGACATATTATTTCAGGTGAGGGTATCCGGGTTGATACACAGAAGATTGAGGCAGTGAAGACTTGGCCTAGACCCACGACACCGACAGAGGTTCGTAACTTCCTGGGTTTGGTAGGTTATTACAGGAGATTTGTAGAGGGATTTTCTTCTCTTTCAGCACCATTGACAAAGTTGACTCAGAAGGCAACTAAGTTTCAGCGGATTGATGCTTGTGAGCAGAGTTTCTAGGCATTGAAGGACAAATTGACTTCAACACCGGTTCTGACACTCCTAGAGGGAATCGATTGTTATGCTATCTATTGTGACGCTTCGGGCATTGGATTGGGTTGTGTACTGATGCAGCATGGTAAGGTTGTATCTTATGCTTCTAGACAACTAAGAAATCACGAGAAGAATTACCCGACCCACATTTTAGAGTTAGCCGTGGTGATTTATGTACTAAAGATGTGGAGGCATTATTTGTATGGTATTCATGTTGATATCTATACGGATCATAAGAGCCTTCAGTATGTCTTCAAGTAAAAGGAATTGAATTTACGTCACAGGCGATGATTGGAGCTAGAAGGACTATGATGTTGATATTTTATACCATCCAAGGAAGGCAAATGTAGTAGCCGATGCCCTTAGCCGTAGATCTATGGGTAGCATATCATATTTACAGCCAGAGAAGAGTGAGATATCCCATGAGATTCATCAGCTACCTAATCTTGGAGTTCGATTGCTGGATTCAGGTGATACTGGAGTTACTATTCAGGACACGACAATATCATCTCTAGTAACTGAAGTGAAGAAACGTCAATATGAGGATCCTGTGCTAGCTCATTATAGAGATACATCCCCTCAAAATGAGAAGCACCATTTGAGATTACAGGAGATGGAGTCCTCAGATATCGAGGTCCATTATGTGTTCCTAATGTGGTAGGGCTGCACCAGCAGGTTATGGGAGAAACTCACTTTTCTCGTTATTCTGTTCATCTAGGAGCGACGAAGATGTATCATGATATCAGGGAAATATACTGGTGGGACGAAATGAAGAAGGATATAGTAGAGTTTGTTGCTCAGTGCCCAAATTGTCAGCAGGTTAAGATTGAGCATCAGAAACCCGATGGATTATTGCAGGCTATAGAGATTCTGACTTGGAAATGGGAAGTAACTAATATGGATTTCATCATAGGCTTACCTCGTACCCAGCGTAATTTCAATTCTATATGGGTGATTTTTGATAGACTTACAAAATCAGCCCATTTTCTGCCTATCAGGACTACGTATTCAGCAGAGGATTATGAAAGGCTTTACCTTAAAGAGATAGTATGACTTCATGGTGTCCCTATATCTATTATCTCAGATAGAGGTACTCAATTTACAGCTAATTTTTGGAGGTCCTTCCAAAAAGGATTGGGGACTCAGGTAAGTCTTAGTACACCATTTCATCCCCAGACAGACGGTCAAGCTGAGCGTACTATTCAAACACTTGAGGATATGCTACAGTCTTGGGTGATTGACTTCAGGGGTAGCTGGGATGATCATCTTCCGCTTATTGAGTTCGCATATAATAATAGCTTTCATTCCAGCATTCAGATGGCTTCATGCAAATCTCTTTACGGACGGAAGTGTAGGTTACCTATCGGATGGGTCGATGTTGGGGAAACTAAGTTAGTAGGACTAGAGTTGGTACAACAGGAAGTTGAGAAGATTAAGCTTATATGTTAAAGGCTATTAGTAGCTTGCGGAAAAATCGACTAAGGATTTGCCTTAGAAGGAAGCTTTTTGAGCAATACATTTCGTGTGTTATATGAGGTATTTTTGGGAATTTGGTCTTAGAATTTAGTTTCCAACACTCTTAACCGTTCATTCATACGACGTCCGGATAAAAAGATATGAACGTCTGAACAAGGGCCAATGCTAGGGTGCCAAGCTAGCACCTCTTTGACTTTTCAAAAGTTGATATATATAGGTCTTAAGTCGTATTTCTATTCATTTTTCAATTGAACACAAATAGAGAACCCTCATAAACCTATCCTTAAGCTCTCT